TGTGTGCTGTCTAATTAATTGTCGGTTGGACATCGATGGGTCACACACAGCGCTGTTGTCTGTCTCCCTCGCCCCGCTCTTGTTCTTTCTTCTTGATTTCCGTTTTCTGGACAAATTGCGTCCCACCTGGTGGTGGGCAGCAACACCTGGTGATCAATCGCAGACGAATCGGCCTGCATGCTGCGCCAGCTGATCATCCGACCCTTCTGTTGCAATGTCGTCCGGGAGCGTTTTCTTTTGTGATCTGACGTCTACCGGCTCCCAAACAAATTATCCTGGCGAAGGACCCAACCATATGCAGTTGTGAGTACCGCTATTGTGAACATCTTCTTCGGTGGCGAGCCCTACGGGGCCACGAACCGTGTGAGGGGGGTGCCGACATGTGTGGCCGGGTACACGATACGAACGGAAGACGAAACGGAAGACGATCGGCCTGAGTATGAAATCTTGAGCGCGGGTGAGTCTGAGCGCGAGTGAGTCTGATTATGAATGAGTCTGCGCCAGGAAACGTGTGAGGGGTGACGCAAAATCGGGCAGCGCCGCCATGCGAACTGCGCCACTGGGACTTTCGGTGGAGCTCCCTATGGGGCCGCGAAACGTGTGAGGGGTGTGCCGAAATGGGTGCGGTGCCGCCGTGCGAACGCAGCCACTGGGGCCCTCGGTGGAGCTCCCTATGGGGCCACGAAGCGTGTGAGGGTGTGCCGAAATAGGTGCGGTGCCGCCATGCGAACGCAGCCAGTGGGGCCCTCGGTGGAGCTCCTTATGAGGCCACGAAACGTGTGAGGGCTGTGCCGAAATGGGTGCGGTGCCGGCATGCGAACGCAGCCACTGGGGCCTTCGGTGGAGCTCCTTATGGGGTCACGAAACGTGTGAGGGGTGTGCCGAAATTGGTGCGGTGGGCGCATGCGAACGCAGCCAGTGGGGCCTTCGGTGGAGCTCCCTATGGGGCGACGAAACGTGTGAGGCGTGTGCTGAAATGGGTGCGGCGCCGCCATGCCAACGCAGCCACTGGGGCCTTCGGTGGAGCTCCCTATGGGGCCACGAAACGTGTGAGGGGTGTGCCGAAATGGGTGCGGCGCCGCCATGCAACGCAGCCACTGGGGCCTTCGGTGGAGCTCCCTATGGGGCCACGAAACGTGTGAGGGGTGTGCCGAAAGCGCACTGGGGCCTTCGGTGGAGCTCCCTATGGGGCCACGAAGCGTGTGAGGGGTGTGCCGAAATGGGCGCGGCGCCGCCATGCCAACGCAGCCACTGGGGCCTTCGGTGGAGCTCCCTATGGGGCCACGAAGCGTGTGAGGGGTGTGCCATGCGGCGCCGCCATGCCACGCAGCCACTGGGGCCTTCGGTGGAGCTCCCTATGGGGCCACGAAACGTGTGAGGGGTGTGCCGAAATGGGTGCGGCGCCGCCATGCAACGCAGCCACTGGGGCCTTCGGTGGAGCTCCCTATGGGGCCACGAAACGTGTGAGGGGTGTGCCGAAATGGGTGCGGGGCCGCCATGCCACGCAGCCACTGGGGCCTTCGGTGGAGCTCCCTATGGGGCCACGAAGCGTGTGAGGGGTGTGCCGAAATGGGTGCGGCGCCGCCATGCCAACGCAGCCTGGGGCCTTCGGTGGAGCTCCCTATGGGGCCACGAAACGTGTGAGGGGTGTGCCGAAATGGGTGCGGGCCGCCATTGGGGCCTTCGGTGGAGCTCCCTATGGGGCCACGAAACGTGTGAGGGGTGTGCCGAAATGGGTGCGGCGCCGCCATGCCAACGCAGCCACTGGGGCCTTCGGTGGAGCTCCCTATGGGGCCACGAAACGTGTGAGGGGTGTGCCGAAATGGGTGCGGCGCCGCCATGCCAACGCAGCCACTGGGGCCTTCGGTGGAGCTCCCTATGGGGCCACGAAACGTGTGAGGGGTGTGCCGAAATGGTGCGGCGCCGCCATGCCAACGCAGCCACTGGGGCCTTCGGTGGAGCTCCCTATGGGCCACGAAACGTGTGAGGGGTGTGCCGAAATGGGTGCGGCGCCGCCATGCCAACGCAGCCACTGGGGCCTTCGGTGGAGCTCCCTATGGGGCCACGAAACGTGTGAGGGGTGTGCCGAAATGGGTGCGGCGCCGCCATGCCAACGCAGCCACTGGGGCCTTCGGTGGAGCTCCCTATGGGGCCACGAAACGTGTGAGGGGTGTGCCGAAATGGGTGCGGCGCCAAAACCAACGCAGCACTGGGGCCTTCGGTGGAGCTCCCTATGGGGCCACGAAACGTGTGAGGGGTGTGCCGAAAACGCATGCAACGCAGCCTGGGGCCTTCGGTGGAGCTCCCTATGGGGCCACGAAACGTGTGAGGGGTGTGCCGAAATGGGTGCGGCGCCGCCATGCCAACGCAGCCACTGGGGCCTTCGGTGGAGCTCCCTATGGGGCCACGAAACGTGTGAGGGGTGTGCCAAATTGGGTGCGGCGCCGCCATGCCAACGCAGCCACTGGGGCCTTCGGTGGAGCTCCCTATGGGGCCACGAAACGTGTGAGGGGTGTGCTGAAATGGGTGCGGCGCCGCCATGCGAACGCAGCCACTGGGGCCTTCGGTGGAGCTCCCTATGGGGCCACGAAGCGTGTGAGGGGTGTGCCGAAATGGGTGCGGTGACGATGGGAGGGGGGAGGAGGCGAAGGAGGAGGAAGGAGAGCGAGGAGACGCGGGGCACCGTCTCTTCAAACCGAGGACCCAACACCACAGGATGGTTGGGAAACCATGACCAGGGACATGTATTGATCATGACGATAAAGGGCGGCGATGGTGATGGCGATCATGACGACGATGATGATGCTGCTACTGATGATGCTGCTGCTGATGATAATGATTACGATGCTACTGATGATGATGATGATGATGATGATGATGATGATGATGATGATGATGATGCTGACGATGATGCTGATGATGATGATGATGATGATGATGATGATGATGATGATGATGATGATGCTGATGCTGATGATGTTTAGGTTGGTAATGCTGCCGATTTGTTGCTATGGTGGTGGTGAT